AGACAATGTGTGATGAACTGACCACAGCCCCTGTGCCACCTCAGGGTGGAGGAGATAGAGAAATTGGGAGCGAAGTTCAGCCTGGGAAGAAAGGAGAGGTGGGTGGAATGTGTTTTAAGATTTGTTTTTATTTTTCATTATCCTACTCTGATTTTGATTGGCAATAAATTCAACTAATTTCCCCAAGTTGAGTCTGTTTTGCCCATGATGGTAATTGCTGACTGATCTCTCCCTGTCCTTATCTTGACCCACAAGCTTCTTGTTATGTTTTTCTCTCCCCTGTCCAGCTGTGGCGGGGAGTGACAGAGGGGCTTTGGGGGGGACCCGGAAAAAAAACACCCAGCCAGTGTCAACCCACCACCCAGAGATAACCTGATTCTTTTGATCGAGGCACTTGATGACTCCTCTCACTATTCTGACTCCACGAATTACTGAGATATGCAGAAAGATTTCATATGAGTGAGCAAATAGCTTGAGTAAAAGGAATGCTATGAAGATTTCAGTGCTTTCTGGTGTTTTTCAGTTTTTACCTCCCTCTGTTCATGGCTTACATTGCCTACTAACTGCACTTCATGCATTTATTATATGCCCAACGATCCACGCCTAGAATATTTTAAAATTTTAATTTCTTACCAAGATCATCTTGAAAAGAAGTTTGATGTATTTTGCAAATGACATTGCTGCTCAAAATCTCCAGCATCTTAGATTTAAACCTGATCTGCATCAAGGCCAGTGGCGTCTTTTGAGGCAACTTTAACTTTTTAAAGTTAGAAGTGGAAAGGAAGGAAGGATGAAGCTGGCAGCGCTGCATTGGTGGCTCTGTCGTCAGTGTGTGCAGTGGTGGGACTCAGCGTCATGGTACAAAGTCTCCTTACACAGCCACAGCTGGCAATGGGCTCCTCTGGGACTGTGTTTTGGGGCTAGGGACAGGGCAGGAGATGGTGATGGTGTGCAGACCTTGTTGGAGGTCTCTACCACCAAAAGGCTCTGCTGGCCCACCTACCTGGCCTCACAGAACTTCTTCATCAGCCTGGGCCGGTCCTGGGCCTGCCGGTGCCGGAACCAGGTCTCCACCTTTTTGACCGGTAGGTCACTTTGCTTGGCCAGTGAAATCAGGTCCCCCTAGAAAACAGAGCAGAGAAGCAGGCCTTAGCCTTCCTGTCTGTCCCTGTGTGGGTGGAAGACCTGTGTTCCTGCAGGCTGCTTCTGCGGGTCCACATTTCCCTGAAAAACACCTTTCTCTGGGAAAAAAATCATATCATCAGCTCTATTTGCATTTGTGAACTAAATAATTTTGGCCATTTTAAAACTACAATTCAGCCATATCTAAATGCAGGTTCAGAAATAAGCATAGGCTCTCCCTGGTTAAATTTTGCCAGTTGTACACAATGGGATTCAATATCTTTGTTATAAAAGGCTAAATATGTATTTTTTTTCCACCTCTGATGCAATTTTGACTGATAATTATCAGCTACAGATAGCAAGCTTGAAGATAAAAAAAGGTTTCGCTTGTGATGATAAAGAAACAAGCATATAGTTCACTCAGTATTGTCAGAAAAAACATCCAGCTGTTTGAGTGACTGCACATTCACAGGCTAAAAAGCATAATTTCCAACATGCTTTGTCTTATGCATGAATTCCAAATAAAACTACCTAGCCTTAAGATGTATAAATGGTGATTAAAATGAGTGTAAAGATGAGCTCATGAGCATTTTTTAATTAATCTGACAAAGCTTCATACAAATTTAAGTAAAAAAAAATTTAAAATCCATACATCAGTGCAAGTCATGATCCAGGCCCAAAGAGTTGCAGTGAATGGAGTTAAATCCAGTTGGTGGCCGGTCACAAACGGTGTTCCCCAGGGCTCAGTATTGAGGCCAGTTCTGTTTAGTATCTTTATCAATGATCTGGATGAGGGGATTGAGTGCACTTGCAGTAAGTTTGCAGACAACACCAAGTTGGGAGGAACTGCTTGAGGGTAGAAGGGCTCTGCAGAGGGATCTGGACAGGCTGGATCAATGTGCTGCGGTCAGTTGTGTGAGGTTCAACAAGACCAAGTGCTGGGTCACAACAACCCCATGCAATGCTACAGGCCTGGGGAAGAGTGGCTGGAAGGCTGCCCAGCAGAAGAGGCCCTGGGGGTGCTGGTCAACAGCCAGCTGAATATGAACAAGCAGTGTGCCCAGGTGGCCAAGAAGGCCAACAGCATCCTGGCTTGTATTAGAGGAGGCCAGGCTTGTATCAGAGGAGGCTGGCATCATGGCCAGCAGGAGTAGGGAAGTGATCGTGCCTCTGTACTGAGTACTGGTGAGACCACACCTGAAATACTGTGTTCAGTTTTGGGCCCCTGACTACGAGTCAAGACATGGAGTTGCTGGAGCGTGTCCAGAGAAGGGCAACAAAACTGGTGAAGGGTCTGGAGAACAAGTCTTATGAGGAGCAGTTGAGGGAACTGGGGTTGTTTATTCTGGAGAAAAGGAGGCTGAGGGGAGACCTTATTGCTCTCTACAACTACCTGAAAGGAGGTTGTGGTGAGGTAGATGTCCGTGTCTTTTCCCGAGTAACAAGAGACAGGATGAGAGGAAACAGCCTCAAGTTGTGCCAGGGGAGGTTTAGACTGGATATTAGGAAAAAATTCGTCACTGAAAAGGGCTGTCAAGCATTGGACCAGGTTGCCCAGGGAATTGGTTGAGTCACCATCCCTGGAGGTATTTAAAAGCCATGGTTAGGGCCATGGTTTAGTGGTGGTCTTGGCAGTGTTACATTTACAGTTGGACTCTATGATCTTCCAACCTAAATGATTCTATGATTCTGAAGGACTTTTATAGTCCTGGCTAAAAATAAGGAGCCTTACCCATAGACTCTACCCAAAGGGGGTGATGGTTGCCTCCTTACCAGAGCCAGCAGCTCTCATGCTACCATATGTGTATTCCATATGCAGCAGGTCAGGGATTGCTGGGATTGTAGCTGTTGAACACAGAAGATGCAGAAATATCTGCTTATGTGTCTTCTTCCCTGGAAGGGTAGTTAGCAGTAACTGCCTTGTCTGTGAGGCTGGTTTGGTTGAGCTGGGATATCTGGGCAGAGAGAAGATATTGTTCGCCTGAGCTCTTGGGACACTGTGACACAGGGGAAACTCACCTCCTTTGGGGTCCTGCCCAGCAGAATGTAGAAGCCTTCCAACGTGGCATTGGGCTGAACTTTGGGCCTTAGCTTGTTGCTCACACCCAACCTCTTGCCCAAGGGGAGAGCTACAGTTCTGCAAGAGGAAAGAGAGTTCAGCCAGGAGAGGACATGTGTGCCTGCACTGTAAGCCACGGTCAGCCAACAGCAAGATTCTGCGCTGGGTGCTCACATGCCCTGTCCAAGGGGTCCAGCACTACCCCAGCTATGCATACACAGCCCAAGGGACCCAGTACTGCTCCAGGGGCACACACAAAGTTCAGTGCCTCTGTCAGGTCAGTGCTCTTTGAGAAAGAGAGACACAATGGCACCACAGAAAAGGTGAGGAATGCTGGATGTGCAGTGGAGACAACAATAACAACTACGAAGTAAGCAATAATTAATTATTCTGCCAAGGCATCAAGACACCTTGCATTTCTCTGTGTTGGAGTGCATGCTGGTCCCTTTTACAATGTTCCCAGGCAGTTTAGACTGTACCATGAAACCAGTCTGCAAGTATCCAACAAGTATCCCATGTGCTCTGTGCCCAGGGTACCTGACCACTGGCTGCAGCGGGAGCGAAGGACAAGGAACATGGGGATATGCTGGTTCCTGTAGGAAACACTAGCTTTGCAGGAAAGCCCGGCAAGGCTCAAGTGGGAGGCACTGGTTTGTAAAATTCTGGGAAGCCCAGCAAGGCTCAAGTGGGAGGCACTGGTTTGTAAAATTCTGGGAAGCCAGGCAAGTGCAACATCTTTGAGGGAAACCTGATGACCCTGGAATTAATTCTGGCTCTTCCTACAACCCGTGTCTACCGCAGCTTCTCACACGTCTTGTGCACAGCAGTCAGGAGCCAGCTCTCCAGGAAAATGGGCCAGTGCTCCCCCAGCTCCTCTAGGCCACAGGAGAAAGCCTATATCCCAGCTGAGGGCAGGTTTGCAGACCACAGCTTTGCTGCTTCACATCCCCCCCGCCCAAAGACATGCTCTGCCTGGTGGGAAGGCATCTCACCTGCCCACACTAGCACACTGCTCTGCTTTAACTGATAGCTCCCCGATTTCCTGTGCATGAGGGTTGGTCTGTACCTCCCCGTGTGTCAGTCTCTGTGTTTCTAGAAGAGGGGCCCAAAGCCCAGTCTGAATCCATCTCCTATGCTGAGCCTTGTGGACCTGCCTCGTTTCCACATGTGAGTCCTGGGGAGATGCCGGTCAGTCCTCTGGCTCCCCTGGGGAGTACCATTTCCCTCAGCCAGGTGAATGTGTTGGAGGGCATTGGAATACATCATCCCTGATTGAACTGGGCATCTGTGGCATCGGGAAGAACGAGCAGGGCAGCGCTGGGCAAGGAGGAGTGCTGTGAACAAAGCAGTCCCACAATGAGCTTCAGGAGCCATGGTCATCCCCTCCTTCTGTCTCTGTGCAGAGAGTGGAGGCTTACGTAGCACTTTTGGGAGCATCCTCTAGGATCAGGCTGAAACCTGGCTCAGCTGGGGGCTCCCAACACTGATGGACCCAGCAAATCCCTTATCCGTGTGGCAAGCTCCCACTTGGGCTCTCTCCAGAGGGACCCTCCACCCATAGTTGAGGTGTGACTGAGTGACAAACTAGTTTTTTCACACCTGCTGGTACAGGTTATGTTACAGGTACAGGAAAGAGGGCAGGGCAAAGAGCTGCCATGCAAATACCATATGTCACAAAAAGCATATAGATTTAGTATTCTTGGGGACAATCCCCTGTCCACTTTGTAGTGGTCAGGAAGCAGGTAAGGATTAGTCTGGAGCAACTCTGCAAGACACTGGTGGCAACCAGCACAGGAGAAACTAGATTTGCTGCACTCACCTTTCAAAGATGCATCGGACAATGATCAAGAGCAGGGCACCAGGGATGCAGAGCAAGAGGTCCTGAGGCTGTGGGTATTGTATGCCTGCAGACTCCTTCATGTCTTCCCAGGTAGCTCCAGGTGGCAGCCAGTATTCATGGTGCCAGAACCCCTCTGACAGTCCCATCCTGGTCAAGACGGTGGGCACGGAAAGCAGAGGCAAGCAGGTAGCAGCACTCACTCCTAAATCAGGATTCCCAGCTCAACAGCTCACCATTCACACTCCCCACCTCTCACTCAATCCCATGAGTATGACTTCAGAGTAGTTGAAATAGCATCACTTGTTCTGACCTGCCCGTGAGCTTGAAGGTGGGGTAAGATGTCGTAGTACAAGAAAGTAATTACTAGGTGTCAAGGAGGTGACTAACTTCAATTACACTCTGCTGGACTGAAGTCCCTACCTCGTGACAATAACAGCAGGGGCTTGTCTCTTGCCCCCTCTTTTTACCACCAGAGAGTGTGGATTGAGGTTCCAGGTGAGATTCGCCACAGCCACTGAGATCTTCTGGCACCCTTAGGGCCCCAACAGTCTCGGTTTTGGTTCCTCCATGTGGCCCAGCAACATCCCATATCCTATTTGCATTTTGAACCACCACATACTGAGCACTGAGTTGATACACTGCTCCCCAAAAGTATTCTGAAGTGCTAACACTCAGCCCAGCACTTCAGGAGACTTTCTCAGGTGCACCACATTGCTCTCCTCTATCTTAAATTTCACTTCTTTTATCACTCAGTCCCTCAGTACTGTAATCCCTTCTGAACTGCTTGCAGTTTGTCTGCATCATCATCACAAGTAACTTTCATTTTCAGCCAATTTTGCCATCTGCTTTCCCTCCCCCTTTTTGAGGCACCTGCAACAATACATAGCTGCAAAAAACCCCTGGTCTCTCATGGTAACCTCAGGTGGATTTCTTTGTCTGTGAATAGGGACCTCTCTGAACTTTGCAAAGCTGAGTAGGTAGCAGGTTCTCTCCTCTCCATGTGCTCACTGACTCTTTGGGATAATTCCAGGAGTGAGACATAATTTCCTCATACACAACCCCTGGGGACTCTTTCCTATAATATTCTGTTCATATGTGTGTCCACAAATTCCATCATTTATTACACTTTCTACTGGTCTGACCAGTCTGTATGTCAGACTACAAATGGCTGTAGCTCCTCACATTCCCACTTGGAACCTTCTTAAATTTTTCTGGTAACAAGATTTGAAACAAAATGTGGCATTCCACAGTTGGTACTTTTTCTTCTAGTATGAACTTCTTCTTGACACTTGAGTGAATGCCACCCATGTTTGAAGGTTTGCTATTATTCAGTTAGTCTGTTGGCCACATAACATCTTCTCATCCATCAGCTTGAGATGGATCCTCTTGGGATGTAGCCTCAGCAAGATGTCAGGTATTGGACCCTCTCTGATGTAAGCAGGGAAGTCATATGCAGACAGTTCATTGAATTTTTTGGCTCTAGTCTGATCTTGTATCAGTGTTCTTGCTATGTGCCTTGATTATCTATGAGTCCTGCAATCTTTCCAGTGTTTTAGAGATTGGTATTACCTTTCAAATTGTTTCTCAAGATACTTCTTGGCCTGCTTTACTGCATGTTCACATTAATCTGCCAAAGTTACAGGTCCTTTCCACTCTCTGTGTTTAGACATGACATCAGCTTTTTGAACAATGCCTTGCTGTTTCTTAGGGACGCCCTTACCTGCAGGCACTGTGTCTGTTGTACATGTGCGAATGAGAAAAGCAATGTCTTTCAAAGCGTAGCCATCCAAGTAAAGGTTCCCTTTAGCATACATGTCTAAATGAAAAAAAAATGGGGAATGCACATCTCTGCTGTTTCCCCAGTGTGTGCAGGGGGAAAGGAACAACTGTGCTAAACTGCTCTTAAAACAAGATCCAAAACGCCATTAGATGTTGAAGTCTACTGGAGTCAGCAGATTCATGTTAGCCGTAATTTTGGGCTAGGATGGCCAGATGCCAGCCTGGGGGCCATGTTTTGCCAACCCTCGACTCACCCACCACACAGCGGCCTGGTTCTTTTTCTCATAGCTCACCTGGAGCTGGACACCTCATCTCCCACAGCTGACTGATAACATTATGTGATGTATGCACTGCATGATGCATGCCTCCCCTGTGCACACAGGGTGATAAAGATACAGGGGAAGTAGGTTCAGATTCTGCTGTGGTGCCCAGTGCTCCATCTGCTCTGCTAGGTTTTTCAGCAGAAAAGTGACAGTCTTGCAGTTTCCTACAACAGCTTCTTTGTGCTGCGGGCCATGATGCCCCTAGTATGGAGGGGCAGGGGAAGGAGTTGATAGACTAAATTAATAAATACTATCACAGCACTCACAAGCTTCCCAACACTGGAGCAGACATAAAGGTAGAGCAATGTGGGGAGGAAGCTGATTACACACAGAGCGTCTTTAAGCCTTAGCAAGTTAATGGTAAGAAAACAAATTCGGCAGTTGAACTGCCCCAGTGACTCATCACTGTCATGCTCAGTTCCTCAGTTAAAAGCAGCACTCAGTAGTTCTTAATCAAGTCCAACAGCTCTCCTGAATCCTTGATGTATCCTTTCACAAGAACCAGATTTGCCTCCTAATGAGCTTATCTCAATCTTCAGGGGGACAGCAAAGCCCCGAGGATAAAACTCAGCAGGCATCAACATATGTCTGCACTGGCTCTACAGCACATTCTGCAGTCTCTGGGAAGCATTCAGCTCCTCAGGTGAAAGGTGGTGTGATTTTACAACAGGGAACTTTCCTAGCCTTCTAAAATCTCATGAAAAATAATAATAGACATTAATTTATCTCCTCCTACCCTTGAAAGTTCAAAGTATCTCCCCAGTGCTGCAATCTGGGACTTGCCACTGCCCTGGCAGTACCAAGCAACCTGGCCCGCCCCTAGGTCTAGTGTAGGGTTGCCCCAAAGTGCCCCTTGTTCCAGGGCCAAACACAGATTTACCTAGTGGGAGACAAATCAGGCAGCTGCGGTTCTCTACTGGCATGGCTCAGTATAGCTGCACGTCGTGGGTATGCAGCATCCTCTCCATGCGCGCTGCATATGTATCGACCTGGGCAATGGCACCCATACACGTCTCCCTCATCACACATGCAACTAGCCAGGTTACCGCCTGCTAGTTAAAGAAGTAGAAAAGGAGCCAGAGAAGCAATCTTTCAAAAGTAATTTATAAAGAACGTTTACATTCAGTAGTACAAATTGTTATATAACCATCCCTCCTGAACACATCACCTGCAGAGGAGTGGCAAGATTGTAGATTCAGCTTAAAGAAACATGACAGTATACAGAACATGTACTTTGAACTTCAAATTAGCTGAAGGTTTCAAACTATCTTCAGCAAATATGAATTTAAATGAAGATGCAAGAACATATGCTCTCCTCCCAGAGCATGTTACTGCCCCAGAATCACCTGTGCTGGAAGAACTTTTTCCCCTCTGAAATTATCCAATGTATTTTGACTGAAATCTAAGATAAGCACAAACAAGCTCAGATCAAAGCTCACTCAGTCACACTGCAGGTCAACTCAGTGGATTGCTGAAAACCCTCTTGTCCTTCTATGCTGTCACTTACCTTTTAATTTTAAACATGTGCACCACCTCCTCAAATCAGGCATGTCCTTGGTCCATGTTCCCCTCCTTGTTAACATTGGCCCTTACTGGGCATATTACAGGGAAGTGTCTGCATGGCCTTGGCAGTCTGTCCCTGCACTCATTACAGTGAATGTTAATACTTTGGTTTCATAGATTAATTGATCTATAAAACAGAAATTCATGTCATTCTAATTTAACTCTTTTACGGGATTACAGAATCCGAAGTCTAAGACTACATAGGATATAAGATATAGGACATCTAAACAAACTGAGTCAGAACTGTGTCATATGACTTCATGGACTACTGCTTTAAACTTGCTATTCTTGATACATCTAGGCAAAGGCCCTAAGTCAGAAGGCCACATTAAAGCATTATTCCATAAGGTTCAGC